GAGCGAAGCAGGAGGCAAGGCGGAAGGCACAGAGGGGGAAAAATGAAAGACAAATGAAAGACAAAGGAAGAGAGAAGACGAAGAGGTGGGAGAAATCAGAACTGTGGAACGCATAAGAGTGGACACAGGGGTGACTGTGGAAGATGGTACAACAGGGACCTGAGGGTGCCGAGCTGCTCTGGAGTAGGAGAGCCGTGGGAGTCTTCTTTTGAGATGGAGTATAGTCACTATCATTATGTATGAAAGGCCCTCCCTTTCTTTGTGACAATGGATTTCACGTTCTCTCAGGTAAAGAGGGCATCAGTGGGAAAACGCAATTGGAAAGCAGTCTCAGGATGGATATGCTGCATCACAGACAGGGCATTTTGTAAGTGATCCACTGCACTTGGCTGGGTGGCCACAGTGCCAGCAGTGTCTGCATTAATAAACGAGACACCAAATATTGTATATCAACATTTTGGGTATCTATCAGCTTGTCGGCTTTCTAAACCATTTACTCAGTGTCTGAATTACTGACTTGTAGTTAACTCCTCCTCCTGTCAGCATCGAAGGTTAGTTTATCAGTGTTGCTAGAATAGTGTCTATGACCCTGGGCAGGGTGAACATAGGTTTCCATTTTGATGACCAAGTTTTGGAGCTCAACTTGCTCCTGAATGTCCGGGCTTCATTACATAAATTCTTGCTGGATAATAGTACGCGGGATGAGAATACCGCAGCTAAACTTAAGGAAGGAATGTCTGTTGTGACGTGGATGTCGTCAGAGTGAATAAGGGGAAACTTGTCAACTTGCTCTGTATCCTTCACAGCAACATGGAAGTCAGGTAAGGACGCGTTTTGACCTACATACCTCGTAAGTGCTCTGGAATGCTATGGTCAGTGAGGTAATCAGATGTCGTTGGTTGGAGAAAAAAATTTCGTCAAAGATTGTCATTGAAATACAGATTGGAAGGAGAGAGTTTTCCAGTGTTTCTTAGGGTATGCGCAAGAAGTGTCAGTAATAGCATCAAGATCGTCATGTACAGGTCGAGGTCGTTTGGACGTTGGCATAAAGCTAGTCCGTCCTATGACATGCGAACGAGTCTAAAATCGATGCGTTGTGATAAAGTGGAAGTGTGGTCGAAGTAGAGCAAAGGGCAAGGGTATCAAAGGGGTAGCGAGGTGTTGCCTAACAAGTGCTACTGGGTTTAAAGGAAGGTCCATGACCTTCCTGGGTCAGCTAAGGATGCCGCAAGGGCGAGGGGGCCCAGGAAGAGGCATAACTAACTAGATTATTAAAAAATTAAGATTTCTGTTTGTGTGTTGTGAAAGGGTAGGGGCAGCTCGGAGGAGAAACTGAAGCCATATATCCCCCTCTTCAGTGTTGTACGGTATACTGGTATATCAGTACAACCGAGATGGCACCTCCTGCATCAACAGATCCAGGCTCAGCCAACAAGAGACGGGCGGCTGGAAGCATGCCAAGAATCTTGCCTTTTTTGGTTGCCACCTCCCGAACCAACAAGCAGTCTCCAGGAATACTCTCGTCATCCAAGGATACACGAAGCTGCCCACCTGGGCCCCAGTGGCCGGCCAGGCACATCCCGACAATCCAATTCCCACTTCAAACAGCACTATCACTGAGGTCTTCAATGGAATGGCAACCGAAATTCACAAGAGAAAAATATCTAAGAAAACGAATAAACCCAGAGGAGAAAAAGACTGACAATTCCGTGGATCAAGAGCCCTTTACCACGCTGAAGGGAGGTGCACTGAAAATATGGCTTTTATTGATGTGTGACAGTGTTGAGTTTTTCCGTGGTTTGTGATCTGGGTGCGAGTGTTTTATGTCTATCAATACTTGCCTTGGCGATTTTGCATATGGTTTTGAGCCTTTCTGCTCTTTATTGCTCAAATTTTATGAATCTTTCTCCAGGTCGAACACAGACTGACCGAGAGAGATTCTGAGTTCTAAGAAAAGTCCGTGAGCAAGCTGGGCTTCCACTCAGGGTATCCAGGAGAAACTTTGCAAGGCGAAAAAGACTTTTGGGGCCCCTGGGGGCAGGCTGAGGCTTCTCTCAAAATTAAGAATTGAAGTATGTACAATGAAGTCATTGGTAAACTTTCATAAAGGCTTTATTTCCCACTCAGCAGAATGACCAGATAACAGATTTTGAAAAATTGACCTATAATTATAAGAGTGCCTAAATTTTTAGACATTTAATAAGTTCTTTCAAAGTAAAATAAATATTTAAAATTTTATTTTTTTAGACTGCTTAATGAAATGAGCTTTTCTGACTATTTTGTCTGAAAATTTTCTAATATCACAATGAATATCTCTGGCAATGTTTGATTCAATACTCAGTCTTGCTAAATCGACAAGTTTGGTTTGAGACATAGTAAGTATACCTTAAGCTTTTGATGTGTTAGAGTTTTAGATCTTTCTGCGGACGCTCGTGTAGGTGGAATTGTCAACAGTATTCTCCAACTGACGCAAACATTTGGAAATATCTCAAAGTTTGTACAGTCTTAATAAATTTAGCAATTCTAGAGACTTCAGTTCTCCTTTTTCCAAAATTTGCTTTATGTGCTAATGGTAAATGTTACATTTCTGCTGCAAAATCTTCCTGGGTGCACCATAAATGTGAGCGATGATCCGACAGAATTCAGAAGTATAAGTGAATTGTATATAATTATTTTTCTAAATAAATTGAAATAGTTGAAATTAAAAAATCAGATGGGAAAAATTAAGATAAATCGCTTAGAGTCCCTTCAGAAAGTCACAGCCCAGCCGGGACTCTGACCAATGTACCGGCTGAACCCCCCTCTCGTAGACCCTGGCTTCCACTGTTGCCTGGAATCCTAAAGAATAGAGCTTAGTTCTTGCCAGTCATAGGTTTAGACGAAAAATTAGAGGAAGCAGAGAAAATAAATGAAGATGAAACCATGTACTAAACCTTGACCAGTATCACCATGACGGACGGTGCTAATGCTTCCTGGAAACCACCTACCCTGCCCAGTGTTGGGCCAACACCAGGGAAGCTCCTTTACAACTAGTTGAGCTGGGCTTAGCGATACCGTTTGATTATAATAACGCACAGCCGTGCAATCGTGGTTCAGCCAATAATAGTGGTAGGCAGCCAGAAATGACTGGCTTTCATATTATAATCTGGGGGGATGGAATGCCAAGCCTTTAATGATGATTTAACGCATGGACTTCGAGAGAAAATAAAGTTCGACGTTTGGAAGAGACAAGGTTTAATTCCCGGATCAAGAGTCATTAACTGGTTTCAGGGGACCTCCCTCAGTGGTATATTTACTAAGCTCTAAACTTGAGAGCTTAAAGCTATCGAAGTATAGGAAAATTAGATTATAAATCTTTATAGAGGCACTACCAACTCGCTGCCCTCGAACCATGGCAAGCCAGTCCTAAAACTACCAGGCTAATTTGCTATCTGTACCATACCGACCTAATATTTATCTAACCACTAACGTTTCAGCACACCATATGAAGGTTAGCTAACCTTAAACAAAAGTGTGTATCGTCTCACTTTAGTGAAAACTGACAAGAGGTAACTGCCTAACAACCTACGTCACTAGTTAAAAGTATTTGCTTTTTCCATTTTTGCTGGAACACTGGAGGTTAACAGTTCTCAAGGGAGGTTCCTTGACGCTGGTGAGGGGCTCTTGATCTAGGGAATTGGATCTGCTCCGGTTCCCTGAATTAAGCCTGAATACCTTTCAACACCTCCCCTCCACAGGCACTGTATAATCATACGGGTTTAGCGCTTTCCCATGATTATTATAATAATAAATAATAATGGTTAACAAGGTTAATGAGCAGTCGATGGAAAAATATAATTTTTGAAAAACATTCGAGAATTACCTTTCGTGTCATAAAGGAAATTTTAGTATTACCTGGAGTGGGTTACGATGGAGAGATTCACTCGATATTTAATAAAAACCTATTTTATTTACGTATTTGAAAGATGACCCAGACTAAATTGCAAATAAAATAAAATTATGAAGACAAACTATTTAATCAAACAATTTATACAGCGAATTACATTGTAAATGTTAATTTATTATCAGGTAAAGCCAGAGATAAATATATTTGAAACTGCAATTGCTAAGGTAATTCGCAGAAGCGATGCTGCTAGACTCGCTTCGTAAATCTAGCAATTCCCATAATTTCAAAGTGAACAAAGTTCAGAAAAATAAGGTCAAATCATAAAATGAACTTTCCTCCGGTGGGACTGAACCTGCCACCTCAGGTGGGACTGAACCTGCCACCTCAGGTGGGACTGAACCTGCCACCTCAGGTGGGACTGAACCTGCCACCTCAGGTGGGACTGAACCTGCCACCTCAGGTGGGACTGAACCTGCCACCTCAGGTGGGACTGAACCTGCCACCTCAGGTGGGACTGAACCTGCCGCCTCAGGTGGGACTGAACCTGCCACCTCAGGTGGGACTGAACCTGCCGCCTCAGGTGGGACTGAACCTGCCGCCTCAGGTGGGACTGAACCTGCCGCCTCAGGTGGGACTGAACCTGCCACCTCAGGTGGGACTGAACCTGCCACCTCAGGTGGGACTGAACCTGCCACCTCAGGTGGGACTGAACCTGCCACCTCAGGTGGGACTGAACCTGCCACCTCAGGTGGGACTGAACCTGCCACCTCAGGTGGGACTGAACCTGCCACCTCAGGTGGGACTGAACCTGCCACCTCAGGTGGGACTGAACCTGCCACCTCAGGTGGGACAACCTCCACAGCATTAAGGGGGATTACCAACAGACCCTGGCAGTCTTCAAGCTGGCACTGGACAAGCACCTTAAGTCGGTTCCTGACCACTCGGGCTGTGGCTCGTACGTTGGTTTGCGTGTAGCCAGCAGTAACAGCCTGGTTGATCAGGCTCTGATCCACCAGGAGGCCTGGTCACAGACCGGGCCGCGGGGGCGTTGACCCCCGGAACTCTCCAGGTAAACTTCAGGTAGTTTCTTAAATATACAAACAGCAACACTCAGTTGTGGTAATTAGCAAAGTTTATTGGTACAACATTTGACCTACGAATAAGCTTTCATAAAATACAAGAAAAATTAATAATGACCGTTCACGGGCGAAACTTTTCCTATGTGTATTTATTATAGCGTCAAGTCTTTATTTACTATATTAAGGTACTATAATGCTCATGTGATAATATCGCGAGGCTTCTCATAGCTCCGGAGTCCAAGTTTGATTCATATATATTTTAATGTTGCAAGAAGTGCAGAAGGCCGTGAGGCGTCCCGTAGTTATGTTGAAGGAAGTGAATACTGGGTCCAGGATGTGGCCAAGTGGACAAGTGTCCACCACTTTGTCTTCCATTACATATGAACACGTCACCATGTGTCGACCCAAAACTTTTAATTGGTCTGTTTTTCTCTTTTTCAACTTTTCCCTAATTTTGTCACTTTTGTGACTAGTTTTGACATTTGCGTTTTTGGTGTCTGAAACGTAGAGACTCCTGGATGAGGGAGTAAAGTGATGAACATCAGATGAACTTGACACTTTAGTTTCACACTTACCGAGATTCACTTGTCCTCTATTAATTACATTTTCCTCTGATTGCTTGTATCTAGATTTTTCTCTACTGCTTCCACACTTCACAGCTCTCTCTCTTTCTCTATTGTTTTCCTTTTTGCTTTTTTCCACATTCTGTAATTTGATGCGAATTTTATCTACTTTCGCATCTTTTTCAGATTTTGTCAGTTTTTCTTCTCGAGTCATTTCTGTCTTATTGACTGGCGTGTGCCAGCTTAAGTTTGACTTAAAGTTACGCTCTATCACACCTCCATTCCTAATATGTTCAAAACTTTTGCGACTGTCATCTTTTTTCTGAGTTTTGTTCACATTATCTTTCTCATAACTTGTGTTATGACCCTGTGTTGTGCTGATGTGAATGTTGGTATTGGGAAGGTGGCGGGAGTGAAAGCCGGGTTTGGAGTAATGGAAGTAATCTCTTTGACGACTGTCAAGACGTTGGTAATGACTAGTATACGGATGTTGACGGAAGTTAGTAAATCTGGCATGAGGAAATTCATTACTATGGTACCTAATGCTGGTATGAGGATGTAGGTGGTAACGACCTGCATCGTGAGGATGTAGGTGGTAACGACCTGCATCGTGAGGATGTACGTGGTAACGACCTGCGCCGTGAGGATAACGGTGGTAACGACCTGCGCCGTGAGGATAAGGGTGGTAACGACCTGCGTCAGAGTGGTGACTGGTATCTGCAAGCTGATGATTGGCCCTTTCTGAAAGAGGGACGCAGTGAACTGTGATTAAATTAGAACGAGGAGTCTGTAGTTTCTCTGCATTCCGAGGTTCCGCCGCTCTTTTTGCTGGGTCGCCATAGCTGCTGTTTGCGTTCCTACATGCCGTGACAGAAGGATCGCGCTTATCCGAGCTCCTCTCGGATGTATTAGTCTTGCTACTCACTGGCTTGACAGGAACATCAAGAGCCGTGGTTACCCTGTCTCGCGCCTTGACCCTTTCAGTTTTCCTTAGGTCGTCGTTATCTCTTTTTATGTTTGTTTTGGCTTTAAAAGTACTAGTATTACATTTGACTGTCTCTCTCTCACGTTTAGGGTATGAATATTTAAGTTCAGTCCTCGATTTTGTCATGTTACTATTAATGAAACTTAATTTTTATTTCATACGTTATAATTACCGTGTATAACAATATTATCTCTACAATTAGCTATCAGTCCGATACAGCTTATGCAACTGGCAAAACTTTTAATTAATTCTTTTTTACACTTATTTACATCCACATTTGATAATCTTTCTTCAACTGTATCACGCACACAGGTGTTTCTGGAGAGACTGCCTAAGGTCCTTTATCGTGAAGAACACGTCGCTCCTAAGCTGCTGCTCTGAGGTGCAGTCCACTTCGCTTCCTTCTGCAAATTATAGTTACATGAGCAAGAAGCTTTAGACAGTTTTTGGCATAGATCAACAGTTGTGCAAGCTTCACAAAACTGGTAAATATCTACCGTGTAATACGAAGAGAGGCACTGATCAGAAATAGCAAACATCGAACTGAAGCCAAAGGAATCTTATAGGAGTCAGGATAAGATAAGATTTCGTTCGGATTTTTAACCCCGGTAATTGAAAGAAACCCGAAACATTTATGCCAAATCTATTTTGATAACATCCAGTATTGGGCCGCTACTTAAACGAGATGGGTCTTACACAGATGACAGCTAGGAAATGAGTGAGCCACTCAAGTCCTAATACGACTTTAGCGAGCCGCTAAATAGAGTCAAAGGCCTAAATGATTTTTTTTTTGAGCGCGACAAAATCTGGTAGATTCAAACGTATCTGATATTATCCTGACACCAAATGACTTCGAAAAGGCGATAAATGACATGTCCATGCACTCTCCCCCGGGCCCAGATTCTTGGAACTGTTAATCAAGAACTGCAAGAAACCCCTATCAAGTGCTTTTAACATCCTACGGAGAGGGAGCATAGCCCCATTCCACAAAAACCGATAGCACTAACATCCCACATCATAAAAAATTTTGAAAGGGTTCTAAGAAGCAAGATCGCCACTCATCTAGATGCCCATCAGTTACACAACCCAGGGCAACATGGGTTTAGAGCAGGTCGCTTCTGCCTGTCCCAACTACTGATAAGGTCCTGGATGCTCCAGAAGACAAACAGAATGCAGATGTAATATACACAGACTTTACAAAACCCTTTGACAAGTGTGACCATGGTGTAACAGCGCACACGATGAATTATAAAGGAATAATAGGAAAAGTAACACAAGTAGTAGTAAACAAGAAGTAAAGTCTGAGGTGCCTACTGGGAAAAAGCTGTTCCATAAGGCACAGCGCACTCTCCCATCCCGTTCCTCATCCTCGTATCTGAAAGACAGGGATGCAAGCCACAGCACCGTGTCTGCCTATGCAGATGACACCCGAATTTGCACGAGTGTACTCCATTGATGCCAGTGCACGACTCCAGGCGGACATCAACCAAATCCTTAAATGAGCTGCAGAAAAAAATATGAAGTTCAATATTCAAAAATTTCAATTACTCGATATGGAAAACGTGGGGAAATTAAAACTACATCGGAGTATAAAACAAATTCCATCCACACAACAGAGGGCGAAAAACTAATGTGAAAGATCTGGGAGTGATGTCAGAGGATATCAACCTTCAAAGACCACAACATTGTATCAATCGCATCTGCTAGAAAAAAAAAAAATCACAGGATGCCAAGCCCAAGATATTCTCAGGTTGCTTATTCTATCTAGGCTAGAATACTGCTGTACAGTAATAGCGCCTTTCAAGGCAGGTGAAACTGCCGACCTAGAAAATTGACAGAAAACCTTCAACGGCACACACAAGTGCGATAAAACACCTAAATTAAATGGAACGTTTGAACTTCTCGAACTGTATTCCCTAGAACGCAGGCGGGAGAGATACAAGATATATACACTTTTGCTATGAAAGCAAAAGACTCTGCAGACGATGCAATATTCTTCCAATGAAAAGCAGGGGCGCCACTAGCACGATAAAGACAATAAGTGTCAGGGGGCCCAGAACTGTTCAACTGCCTCCCTGCATACACAAGGGGGGATTACCAGTAGACCCCTGGCTGTCTTTCAAGAAAGCGTGGGACAGTTACCTAAAGTTATCACCTGACCAGCCAGGCTGTGGTTCGTATGTCGGTTTGTGTGCAGCCAATAGTAACAGCCTGGTTTATCAGGTCCTGATCTACCAGGCCTGGTCATAGACCGGGCCGCGGGGGCGTTGACCCCCGAAACTCCCGGTATAATACAGATATACGTGTGTGACGTTAGGTAAATGTTTTCACAGGATGTTAGTTCTAGTAAAGCCTCTCAGCGTCAGTATTTCTCGTTCATTAGCTCTCGGCTCAGGGAGATTGACATTAGTCGGTCTATCATAAGGTAGGAGCTACGTGTTCGGTGCATACAATAAGTAAAACCAGCTAACTGCGACCCAGCTCTGGCTGGGCCACAGGTACACCAGTTTAATATTTTAATTTCTAGAAGTACATGTACAAGATATACAGACCTAGCCGACATCAATGACATACTAGTATATAGAAAGCCACTCATTATACAGAGCATTTCGGGCAAATTAGGTCAGTTGTCCCAGGATGCGACCCACACCAGTCCACTAACACCCAGGTACCCATTTTACTGATGGGTGGACAGACAACCGGTGTAAGGAAACACGCCGAAGGTTTCTACCCTCGCTGGGACTAACCCGGACCCTGGCTGTGTGAAGTAGAGCTTTAGTCACTAGGCCACGGGGCACCATCAGCTAATGTACACCTAACTAAATATATCATTAGAAAGTCTTGCATCTCCAAATGATTTTAAATTCATAATCGGCAAGTGTTAAATGTAAAATTAATTTTAAGCACGGTCGTATATTTCAGCCATTCTGGGAAAAAATAACATTTACCTACTGTAAATAGGCTTCTCTGAATTTAAACCTTATTTTGCTAAAATATTGGGCATATTTATAAAACTCTTAACTTACATTCTAATATGTGAAAATTCATAATCAACGTTAAATTTTTTTTTATCTAAATACTGGGACCCAGAGCCTGAGACCTTCATGTCTAACCTTCACTACCATCCACAGAATGGCTATAGGCGAACAAATTTATTAAACTACCCAATACGAGATTCCAGTCTAATATCACTAATAGTCTAGGGTCTTCTAGCAAACTTCAAACAAAGTTACTAATTAGGTTTAGGTAGAGATCTAATCCAAGTCTTCCTTGTTCTCTTTCACCTTAGTATGTATACTCCAAACCTCGGAGAGCCGACGCCTGGTGCCACCCCCCCCCCCCGTACGGGAAGGGGGTGCCGACGGCTGGTCCCCCCCCCCCCTGGAAGTGGGTGCCGACTCCTGTGGCCCCTCCCCCCGTACGAGAATGGGGGCTGACGTCTTCCCCCCCCCCCCCTGTATAGGAACCATATCAGGTGCTACTCTCATTGGATTAATTAACCGCCCCCCTTTCCAGGGGTGGACGGGTATCCCAAGAGGGACTAGGGCGAGTGAGGAGTGGTCAGGTGGGTAGTTCAGCGCTACTGAGATATGAATCACCAAGTATACTACGCTCTGCAAAGTCCTTGCAGGATGCTGGCTATACATTTGCTTATGTAGGATCATAATTGTCTGCCAGCAGTGCATAGTTTACATACTCGTATTTACGAGAACTTTTTGGAGTGGGTGCCACATACATGGGTAGAAGCCCTCTGTTGTGGTAAAGCTTCTGGCTCCAGAAGCATTGTCATCGTACATTATATATTAACCCGTAGGGATTATACACTAACTGGAAGAAAGAGATAATTATGCTAAATTCAAAGGAAAATAGAATAGGTTAGTTTCATTGAAACAACCTCACCTTCCTAGCAACCCTGTACAGCTAATGAAATAAATGAAATTTAAGTCCCTTCCTGCGAGGGTAGCATAAGCAAGTCTAAAAAAGAAATTTTTAGACCACCGACTTTGCCACAATCCGAATAACAACGAAAACCATACATGATGCTTTCGTGATTAATAAACCAGAGTATCCTAGGAAAAACAGTCTTCCAAGAATACTTCACTCGAATTAATGAACGCAAGCCTGCGCAGACTTAAGGCCTTAAAGCAAGTTTCACACAGATGTCTGAGAATCTCAATCATCCAGCATTTTGCTGCCGTGAGATGCATTCAGTTCCTTTGGAATTTCAGTCGATAGTTACTAGACATGTGGCATTAGAGAGAAGTGCCAATGTAGAAGTGCTCCTTCATCCAGCAGTCATTTAAGCAGCAAAACGAGGCATTAGATTAGCAATAACCTCGCAGCTTCTGCTGCAGTCACGAAGCCACAACCCTATGGTCTATCACAGTATCAGTGGGCACCCACACACAATACTTTCCTACATTCTTACCAGCATAACCACAAGCCTGGTACAGGTCCGGCAGCATACCAAAGAGGTAGGGTCTGGGAAAGTAAGAAATCAGATCAACAGTTTTTGGCCATGCACGAGATGCGACTACAGTAACAGCAGCTGCTGACAATTTTTAATTACAAAATTAACTTGTGGACTTACGAAGTCCCAAAATAAACGCCAACAGGAATAACAGGGAAGATAAATTTAATACCCACGACAAAACCAGTCCCGCAGGGTGCTTCTCAATATTGCTTCAACACATTCATGGAGCGAATCATTTACCTTTACAAGCATAATTCAGTTAAAGGAGCAATAAAAAAAATCTAATGCCTTTCTAGAACTGGCAGAGAAAATAGTCTTATGCATTAAAGGGCATATCATGAATGGAGAGAAATATTAGGTTAGAACAGAGCAGTGAGAAAAGCAGAGTAAAAACAAGGGAGGGACAAGAATGATGGTTCCTAATCACTACTGGGTTAAGAATTTTTTTTAAGTAATTGAAATGTGGTAAAACTAATACAAAAAGAAACATTGTTATTTAGAGCCGGGGGGGGGGGAGGGTTGGATGATATTGGCTGTAAGGTCATTTATGAAACACCAGTAAGGCTTGTCTAGACGACAGCTGATGTGGAAAATTACATTTATTTGAATGTATCATTATGTACACAACAGTAAATGAACAAAGATAATTATTTATCAGTTATACAAGTAGGAATTTGGGACACCTAGGTCGCAAAAAAAAAAAAAAAAAAAAAAAAAAAAAAAAAAAAAAAAAATCCCCCTTCGATACCTATCACTGTCATATCCACAAGTTGCTCTAGACCTATTAATTACAAATTAAAGAGGCATCAACAAGAATTCTGGTAAATAAAATCTGTGGACTGTATATTAAATTAATAAAGAATTATATATATACACACACACAATTTACATAACAGAAGAGAATATCTTAAAATCACTCACCAATTTGACTGGAAATCAAGGTGCATCATACTCAGAAAACCTCTGTCTATACATGAAAATAACACTGGCCAGAGTTAAAACATCATAGACTTATCCGAGGTTCCTGGAGTTGTCTTGTCCAGTCCCCTGATATCAAGTCATACAGAAATGCACATCCAACAATTTCGCCTCCTATTTGAGAGGAGTCGGCCCAATTTTAACCTCTAGAGCACGAAAAATTCTTCCCATTACACCAACGTTCTAATCCAAATTCAAACAATGGCGAGAGACCTTCTGCGCAGGCGCAGCTTCCCATTTTCGATAATTTTTATTAAATACATTATGGCCATTTATTTACATATAAACTACTGTATTTCTGGAAAATATATACAGTATTTTCCACAGCTGATGTTAAAACAAGTAATTGCATTTTTCCTTAACCCAGACCTGGAAAGAACTGTCGGAGGTAGTAAGTTAGAGGTTCAAGATCAAAAGACAAGAAATGCCCGAAATGCCTAGGCATACTATTGGCCTTTGTAATAAAGTATTTTATGTCATATCTTATATGTAAACCCCACATTGTAATATTAACAAATAAAGAATTTTATTATTTAAGACTTCAGAATTTTAATTCTCAAGTTTAAACCCAAAATATATTTTTCTGTCTTCTATACAAAGCTAGTGTCCCGATTATGTGCATGTATTAGCAAAACCACTGGATGGCGAAAAATCCACAAAAATAAAGATAACCCAGATGATGCACACGTCTAATTAATCATTTGACTATATGTAACTTTGCACGATGAAGTACACAGGAATTAATGAATATATAGAATCTTAAAAAAAAAAAAAAACTTGGGCAGACAGAATTACGCGTAACTGGTTTATAATGAAAGTATTTGGAGGGTGATAGCAGGGGGTGTATGAACTGCTACGAACACTAATTTGAAACGTACACAGTGGTATATTGAGTTATCCACACTCAAAGAGGAAATCAAAGCAAGACATCCCCGACAAACCTAGATGACAGAGGCACAGCGTTATAGAAGACGTCTATATGTGGTCCTGTAACCCGAGTAATACCAGTGTTGAGCAGTGTCTGAG